ATCTGGATCTGGGCTTTTGTTTTTGGGAAGACTTTTGATTACCATTTCAATTTACTCAATAGTGATAGGTCTGTTCAGATATTCCAAGTCTCCTTGGTCCAGTCTTAGGAGATTATAGTGCTCCAGGAATATAACCATTTCTTCTAGCTTATCTTGTTTTGTAGCATACAGACTCTTGAAGTAATCTCTGATGGTCTTTTGAATTTCCATGATTTCTGCTATAATGTCCCCTCTTTTGTTTCTGATTCAGTTTATTATTCGGTCTCTTTCTTTGTGAGTCTTGCTAGTGTTTCATTGATCTTGTTTATTTTTCAAAGAACCAGCTCTTAGTTTCATTAATCTTTTGGATTGTTTTTGGGTTTCCAGCTCATTGATTTCTGCTTTAATTTTTATTATTTCCTTCTTCCTGCCTGGTTTTTTGCTGGTCATTTTCTAAGATTTTAAGTTGTTATTTATGTGGGCTCTTTCTTCCTTTCTGATGAATGCTTGCAGAGCTATAAACTTTCCTCTTAACACTGCTTTTTCTGTGTGCCACAAGTTCTGGTAGCTCATGTCCTCATTCTTACTTGTTTCTAGGAATCTTTTGATTTCTTCTCTAACCCACTGGTAGTTTGGTAGTGAACTATTTAATTTCCACGTGTTTAATTTGATTATCCGTTTTCAGTTGTGATTCACTTCTACTTTCAGTGCATCGTGGTCTGAAAAGATAGCTGATAAAATGTCTATCTTCTTGATTTTATTGAGGTATGTTTTGTGGCCCAGCATGTGGTCTATCTCAGAGAATGTTCCACTGTGCACTGGAGAAGAATATGGATTTGGCTCTTTAGGGATGAAAAACCTTATAAATATCTACTATCCCATTGTCTTCCATTTCTTCCTTCAAGGCCAGTATTTCCTTGCTGAGTTTTAGTCTTGTTGATCTATCAAGGGATGGAAAAACAGTGTTGAAGTCGCCAACTACTATTGTATTGTTACCAATGGGCCTCCCTGAAGTCTACTAGCATTTTAAGTATTTTGCTGGCTCCTTAGTAAGTGCGTATATGTTTAGGGGTGTAATTTCTTCCTGATGTAATTTACCCCTTGATTATTAAAAAATGGCCTTCGCTGTTCCTTCTAACCTTTTTCAGCCTAAAATCTATGGTATTGGATACTAGTGTGGCCACCTCAGCCTTTTTAAAGGAGTTGTTTGTTTGAAGAGTTGTTTTCTAGCCTTTGACTTTGAGTCTGTATTTACTATGACTTCAAATGTGTTTCTTGTAGGCAGCAGAATGTTGGATTCAGTTTTTTAATCCATTGTGTCACTCTGTGTCTCCTAATTGGTTCATTTAGACCATTGACATTGAGAGAGATTATTGTCATAAGGTTTTGTGCCATCTTTTTATAGAAGCTTGTTGGTTTGTGGGGTTTGTCTTGTGTTACAGTAGCCCTTTCAGTACTTCTTTTAAAGTTGGTTTTGAGTCTATGGAGTTCCTGAGCTATTGTTTATCCATGAAGTTGTGTATTGTTCATTCAAATCTTAATGAGAGTCCAGCCACATAAAGTATTCTTAGTGAGTCATTCATTTAATTGAGTTTTTTCACTATATCCCACCACTGTCTTCAGGCACTGAAGGTTTCATCTGATAAATCTGCTGTAAATCGAAGGATTTCTCCTTTGTTGTGGGGGGTATGTTTATTTTTAAGTTAACATAATTGGGAATGGGTACAGCTCAAACTTAACCCTAACTATAAACCAAAAAACTAATTATGACTCCACAACTCCTGGTCTTCACATCAGCTCATTGCTCTATGTAATTTCATGACGCAAACTGGAGACTAATGGAGCAAGATACTGGAAAAAAATTCAGCTAAAAAGAAGGAAGAATCTCCTAGCAGAGCTATGAGAGAATCTGCCGGTGGCCATTGAGGGATCATCAGGCAAGGTTGGCTGAGGGCATCATTTTTAGAGACAGAGAGGAGGTGGGCCAGCTAACCAGTTCTAAGGATCTTGTCATATATGATTAAGTCCACGATCACTATTAATGCTCCTTTCAAAGTTCCAATATTCAGTGGGGACGGAAGATCTCTGTGGGTGCAGTATCTAGACTAATGGTTCCATGTGTTTAGTGTGAAGTCATTAGGAAGTAGATAGTATAGTAACCTGCTGCAATTTTCTACAAATGAGCCCACAGAGTCAGATGATTAGGGAGGCTTTCAGTTAAAGGAAAGGATTCAACCCAATCATGTAAACAAAATGGGAATTTATCGGAAAAGGCTAACAGAATGAACCAGAGCCAGAGGGTCAGGCACAAAACAATGAGCAGAGTGACCCTGTAGGGCATAAAGTGGAATGTTGGCAGGAATAACCTGCCTCTGTTCATAACAGCACAACCAGACCTGCATTTTGTTTCCTCTCATCCAAGGTTAATTCCTGGGTCAGAGTGTTCTGGGTTCCTTGCTACAGTGCTGGCTGCCAGGTCCAAAAGAGAGAGAGATGTAGACCAGATGTCTTCTGTGGTGGGAGAAAAGGCACAGTCACAGTCCTGTCAATTTGTAGTGCAGGATGAAAAAACTCCCACTGTATCCTATTTAATTGCAGTGATATGAGCACAGATATGCCTGGTTCTCAGACTGGAGGAAAAGATATACTGAGCTCATCCCTGACCACTGCTGTCCACCATCTACTCTAGCTTCACAGGAACTACAAACTTATTAGCCTTTGTCAATGTATGCATATGGAGGCAGCATTAAAAAATCATAAAGTACACTAAAACATGAGCATAACATTTTATTTTATTCTGTATTTTTTGTCTATTTTTCTCTTTTCTTCTTGCAATTTGTATTAGCTAAGTTTATTATAATCATTATTTTATTTAATCCTTCCAATATTGTTATGGATTATAAATAGTTCAAGCCTGTGAACACATTCTCTTTATCTTGTTAAACTACCTTTTTTTGAGGCCAAGCAACATCTGTTATCAATTACTATAGAGGAACTCAGCAGAACCTACCTTGGAGCTTGGTAAATGGAAGGTTCCCAGTAATATCTGTATGAGGGATGGAAAAATAGCTCAATGGGCTGAGCACATATTTTGTATGTGGGTGGCCCAGGTTCAGTTCCTAGTACCACATATGCCTCTCCCTGCCCCATTCCATGCACCACCAGAAACAACTCCTGAGTACAGACCCAGGAGCATAGTTGAGTATACTTCGGAACAAACAAACAAAAAACAAATCACAAAACAAAGTGAAAACATAAATGAACTGCCAGTGAATGGTGTCACCCTATCCAAGGGTTTGTTTTCTGTGTTGTCAGTGATTTGTGGTCAACCCTGGCCTAAAAATATGACATACAATACTATAGTTTGAAAGAATATAGATTCACATTGATTTTGCTATTATAGTGCACTGTTATAATTTTTCTATCCCATTCATCATTGTTGTTAATCTCTTAATGTGCCAAATTTTAAATTAAACTATCTTAGCTATGTAGTTACAGGAAAAAATAAAATACATGTAGGAGTCAGAACTATCTAAAATTTCATGCATCCGCTGTGGGATGAATCCCCTGTAGATTAGGGGTGAGGTACTTACTGGAGGGGATGTTCATTCAACTGTGATTCAGTTGCCCAAGTATTTTAGGGAATGAGTCAGAAACTCTGAACCCCATACCCCTCCCCGCAAAATTGCTTGGGGTAACTGCTCCCAACGCTAATAGTGATTGATGCTGGAGTGGCAGAAAGGCAGTATTATTTTTTTCTTTTAGCTTTTTTTTTTATAACAAAATCATTGAATGAGGGGCTGGAGAGATAGTACAGTGAGCAGGTTGTTTTGCATGTGGCAGAACTGGGTTCAGTCCTTGGCATTCCATATGTATGTGTGTATAGGTGATATAGATATATAGATATAGATAGATATGCATGTACACATATATTCATACATATATATATATATAGAGAGAGAGAGAGAGAGAGGAAATGACTTTGGCATAGGGTATTTAGGGATAGTACATTTTGAAAATAGAGCAGCACTGCAAACAACTAAATACACCAGAGTGGGGAAACAACTAATGAATTATGGGGAGTCACATAATGGGAAAGTACATCATATGGCAACATTATTAAAGTGGTCGTTACAAGGACTTCATTCAAGATAGAGGCTCTGGGGGTATTGGTGGTGGGGTATATGCACTGGTGGAGGGATGGGTGTTTGATCATTGTGTGATTGTAACTCAAACATATATCTCACAGTGATTCAGTAATAATAATAATAAAAAGACAAAGGCTCATGTGAAAAAAGAGACACATCTTGTTAAACACTGCTCAGGGACCTCAGGATCTCATAGGGGTTATTGCTTGTTGTAAGGATTTGAACTTTTCCTCTGAATTTTACTGGGAACAAATTGAGCAAAGAATTGGTTCTTTGCTTTTACTTAGGTTTTAAGAGGGTCACCTTGACAGTTGTGTGGAAACAGGGACAGGGAGTTGGGAAGGGAGTGAGATAGGAGGAGAGAAGGGTAAGGATTATATAAAGTGAGAGATTATTGCAATACTTTAGACCTTCACCAAAGCTCAAGGTGAAATCAGTGGAGCTGGGGGAACAAAGTGGTGGTTTCTAAATATATTCTGAATTGGAGACAATGAATTAGTTGTGTCGATAAGACAGAGATGAGTAATGGGGTGACCAGAGGTTTGGGTCTGAACATTTCTATCTACTGCACTGTAGAGGGGATGTGTATATATCCATGGATCTCAGAACATGGCACTGAGGTGAAACCCCCCACAGAAATATCTTCACCTCACTATGACCCTTTTCTCTTGTAAAGTAGGAATTATAATAGTATGGGCTTCACTGGGTTTTGAAAGCATTAAGTGAATTAATGCATGTTACATGCTCAGAACTGTCTCTGGAAAAAAACCGAAATGCTAGGAAAATTACATAATAACTGTTCCTTTTCTAACTTTATATTGTCAATGAGAATCTTATCTCTCTTCGTTCACTCTGACTTTCCCTATTACTTAGGTGCTCTCTGATGGGTTTTGACCTGAACCGTCACTGGCTGGATCCCTCTCCATGGGCCCACCCTACACTGCATGGGGTGAAACAGCTCATTGTCCAGATGTACAACGATCCGGTGAGTCATCCTCAGCAGCTGCTGGTCTTATGGTTTGAACTGGAAAATAATATGCTGTGTTGGTAAAGTTCACTAACCTGCAAATTAGGAATCCAGCTTCAAAACCTATGATCTTGTTTCTGAATTTATTTGACCCAAGTATTTTCTCCAGTCTCACCTTTCACTAATATTGGACTCAGCTTTAGGGATCTCTTGAGATAGAGATGCTCCGGAGTTTTGAAGGATGGTTTATAGTGAGGCTTGAAGGAAATTAGAAGATAGGGAACAACTGGGACTTGATTCTCCTGGAGATGGAGAGCCAATGGAAGGCTTGAAGCAGCAAAGTGACAAGATCAGGTGTGCATTTCAGAAGGTTCCCTCTGGGAAGAGGATGGATTTAAAATATGGCAATCTGTAACCAGGAGTGCCCACTATGCTGTGGAGAGCATTGGAAGTGCAGGAGGTGGAGTTGTCGCAGGGGAGACAGGAGTTAGCAGGTGACAATGAGAGAACAGGGGGAGTGCACAGCCCTTGAGGTTTGGTTGGGCAGGTGAAAGAAGATGGTAACCTTCCTGAAAGGGGACCTAGGAAGCACAGGAAGTGTGGGTAGGCCTTAGGCATATTGCTTTTTCAATTGGTAGGAAAGATATGCTCTAGGATTGTACCAGAATTAGCCCTTTGGAGAGAGAATGGCGGTATTTTCTTCAAAGGCTGCCATACTGGCCTGGTGCTCTATAAACCCTTCTCCTCTCTCAGGGGTGTTGGAATGGAAATGATCTCGACAAAGGAGGATTGAACCTAGGGGCCTGACTGCACTAGATCTCAGATATGAAGTGTTTCATGGCCCACTCCAAAGACAGCCCCCAGTGGACAGCATGGCCTTTGTTTTCCAGTGGTGATTGATCATCCCTCTGGGCAGGCTCTGGCTGATTCATCTCAGTCCCTGGAACCCAGCAGGGACCGACTCTGGGCAGACAAGACACTCAGCATGAACACTGAGCATGCGATGAAGCTAGTCGCATCTGAGGTGTGACTTTTTATAACATTCTTCTAATAAAAAGACACAAATGAATCACAGACCCTCTCCCCCTCAGAGTGTCCTTGAACTCTTCTTCCAACATTTACTTAAGGCTCGGGTTTGTGGCTTCACATCACACCATGAACCACACAACTAGCTGCTCACACACAAGAGCACACACTAGGTCTTCCTCTCACACCTGCACCCAACTGTAATCTGAAAACACAAAGCTCATATATGTATGCGCTTCTTAGGTCCATCAATCTGCATCTCAGTGTGAATCTGATTTGTTAGGCAAAGCTTGAGAACAGTTGGATCAAGTAAAATTTTAAAAGGAAGTTTTGGTTTAAAACACCCCATTAATGGGGGTATGGTGCCGCCAGCAGGTCAATCTGTACCTGTAAGGTGAGTGCATCAGCAGCCTGATGATGCCTTCAGACTTCCAGATACCCCAAAATTGCTGCTGTGTCTTTGGCCAGACCCCAAAAACTTGGGGCAAAGTTTACCAAGAAAGTAAACAGCCAAAAGTTAGGTATGTGGGAGACATACCCACAAACCACCTCCCGCTCAGCTATATAATTGGAGGCATGGCCTCTCTGGTTCCTGACTGAACTGCTTAATGGCCATGATCCCAGAGACTCAGAAACAAATATTGAAACCCAATGACTTTTGGCAGAAATGTGTTCAGTCCTTGCAGTAGGTTACCGGTGCTGGGCCACCCCAGGTGGGAATAGGTTTTGTGCCTTTGCTGTTCCCCCTGGCGGTCCAGTGGCCACCATCCTCCAGAGGCCGCTGGACAATCAGGTTTGGGCCTGCAGTGACAAGACCCATGGGACCTCCTGGAATGTGGGTGGATCCAGCCCTTTCCTCCCCACCCCAATAAGAGCCTGAGTCGCCTCCCATGAACAGTCTCTCTGGCTCCTGATCAAGCTGCTTAACGGCCATCATCCCAGAGACTCAGAAACAAATCTAGGAATCCAGTGGCTTTTGGCAGAAATGAATCCAGACCCGCAGTAGGTTACTGTTACCAAGCCACCAAGGGGGGGAAGAGTGCTGTCCCTCCACCTGCTCCCCCTAGGCGGCTCGGTGGCTGCCATCCTCCAGAGGCCATTGGACAGTCAGGTTTGGGCCCTCAGTGACAAGACAAGTGGGGCCTCATGGGATGGGGGTGGAGCCAGCCCTTTCCTCCCCACCCCAACAAGACCCCAAGTTGTCAACCACGAACAGCTTCTCTGGCTCCTGATCAAGCTGCTTAACGGCCATGATCCCAGAGACTCAGAAGCAGAAGCAAATCTGAACGCAATGGCTTTTGGCAGAAATACATCCAGACCCCACAGTAGGTTACTGACGCCCGGCCAATCCAGGGGGGAAAGAGTGTTGTCCCTCAGCCTACTCCCCCTAGGCGGCTCGGTGGCTGCCATCTTCTAGAGGCCATTGGGAAGTCAGATTTGGGCCCTCAGTGACAAGACATGTGGGCCTCAGAGGATGGGGGTGAAGCTGGCCCTTTCCTCCCCGTCCCAACGAGACCCCGAGTCGCTGGCCATGAATGGCCTCTCTGAGTCCTGATCAGGCTGCTTAATGGCCATGGTCCCAGAGCCTCAGGAACAAATCTCGGAACCCAGCAGGTTTTGGCAGAAATCCCTCCAGATTTTTTTTTCTTTTTATTAGTGAAACACCATGAGGTACAGTTGTAGATTTACAATTTTTTGTGCTTGGGTTTCGATTATACAATGACCAAATACCCATCCCTCCATCAGTGCCCATTTTCCACCACCATGGATAATATCCCTCCCACCCCCACCCCCATCCCACCCTGCCTCTGTGGCAGGGCATTCCCTCTTGTTCTCTCTCTCCTTTTGGGTGTTGTGGTCTGCAAAAGAGGCATTGAGTGGCAAACATGTTCAGTCCATAGTCTACTTTCAACATGCATCTCCCCTCCTGGGAGGATCCTCCAAACACCCTTTATTTGGTGCTCCCTTCTCTATCTGAGCTGCCCTTTCCCCTAGAATGCCCGGCTGGCCTCTAAGCTATGGAGTAATCCTCCTGGTACTGATCTCAGCTATTCTTACCCTCCAGATTTAATTGTTAAAATTTCGGAATTTCAAAATCACGCAGCCACGCAATACCATGTGTTATTCATAACCAGCAATAGAAAACAAATTGTCTACTGTTGCCTTTTCAGCAGATCTTTTCACTCTTTTCAGAGTGTTGTAGTAAAATCCCAAATAATAATGGTGGTCTGGTGTCAAAATATTGAATGTAATCAAAGTAGAGAGAGAGAGAGAGAGTAATGTGGAAATCATCTGCCCTACAGGTAGGGGGAGGTGGGGGATGGGGGTACACTGGGGTTTTGGTGGTGGAGAATGGGCACTGGTGAAGGTACGGGTATTTCATTGTAGGACCGAGATGTAGACGCAAAAGCTTTGTAACTGCTCTCACAGTGATTCAATAAATAAAATTATAAAAAATGAAAAAAATAAGGTGGAGTTCGTGCCCAATTCAATCAGCTAATCAGTGGTTGAATAAATAGCAGTACTCCTACATAATGATAAATAAATAAATAAAAATAATAAAACACCCCCTTAATTGAATGCAACACACATTTCTCAGTGTAACCATGTGCAAAAACCCTGGGTTACCTCTGGGTTTATAGAGATTAATGGGGGCAAAGTCTTAGGCCAGAAGGACTTGAGATCAAACAGTCACAAGGTCAGATCTTTGTGAACCATTTAAATTCAAGGCAAGGGCCTGGAGTGATAGCACAGCAGATAGGGCATTTGCACACAGCCCAACTCGGGTTTGATTCCCAGCATCCCATATGCGTCCCCCCCCCACCCCCAGCACGGCCAGGAGTAATCCCTGAGTGTATGAACCAGGAGTAACCCCTGTGCATCGCTGGGTCTGACCCAAAAAGCAAATAAATAAATAAATAAGTTCAAGGCAGTCTGGAATATGTGCTTTTAAAAGCACAAAACAAAAAAAAAAAGTAAGGTGGAGTTCATGCACAATTCAATCAGCTAATCAGTGGCTGAATAAATAGCAGTATTCCTACATAAAAAATAAATAAATAAATAAATAAATAAATAAATAAAAGCACAAAACAGCTCTTCCTGTTTGTCCCCAATGCTGTGCCAGTCTTCTTCCCCGCCCAGGTCAGTTAACCTGCCAGTATTCGAACCCGGGAATTGGCTTTCTTCACGCAAGCACCCCAGGCGTCTTTTAGGACCCTGGGACCACAGCATTCCTGAGCCTCTTCCTCTTGGTCCCCAACACTGTGCCAGTCTTCAAACCCTCTCAGGTCAGTTAACCCGCCTGTATTCGAACCTGGGACTTGGCTTTCTCTGCACAAGCAGCCCAGGCATCCTCTAGGACCCTGGAACAACACCATCCTTGAGCCTCTTCCTGTTTGTCCCCAACGCTGTGCCGGTCTTCTTCCCCTCCCAGTTTTCTTCCCCTCCCAGGTCAGTTAACCTGCCAGTATTTGAACCCCTGACTTAGTTTTCTCAGTGCAAGCACCACAGGCGTCCTCTAGGCCGCTGGGACAAAAGCAACCCTGAGCCTCTTCCTCTTCGTCCCCAACGCCCTGCCGGTCTTCTTCCCCTCCCAGCTAGTAATCCCCCACACACCAGGTGCCCCTTGGGGGCAAGGCCTCTTTAGAAATGGGCGTGGCTCTGCAGAAGTGGACGTGGCCTAATTTCAGGTGGGCCAATGCTCACTCGGCCGCCGTTAGTTTACTCATACCAAGAAATCTAGTGAAACATCTCAGTTCCCATACCCACACAAGAACATGAAGAAACATCCCCATCACGTGGGGACAAAGATGAAAAGAGTCCAGAAGCCCCAGTAGATGCTACTCACCTAAAGGACCTCTCTGAGATAGAATTCAGATATGAAGTCATGAAGATGTTCAATGAATTCGATGAAACAGTCAGACAGATATCCAGTAACATGACAGAAAAAAATCAACAAATTACGGGAAGAAATGAGAGCAGAAATGTCACGA